TTCGTCGATGGAGGTGGAGGCCCCTTCGGCCCCCACTTGGGCCGCACGCCATATTTGATGGCCTGTAGAAGCTCCTGGGATGCTCCGTTCTCTCTCCATTTCGCTAGGACACTTCTTACCTTGCAATACAGAGGGGCATTCGGATCGATCCTGGGAACACTGACGTGCGGTCGTTGGGGAGTTAGTCGTCCTTGGGCCTGAAATTTTGCCCCGGACGATGCAGCGCGAGTTCGTGCTGCTTTTTCTTCGTTGCTTTGACGAATTTTGAGATATCTGAAGAATTTTGGAATGTGGGACGTACCTGATGCTCCACAAGAGCTGCAAATTCTGCTCCTTCCTCTACTCCGAGTCGCTTCAATTCCACAGTCTGACCCAAACCCTTGACTAGGGCCACAATTACTCCACAATAAGCCTGCATCCGATGCTCCACAGATAGGCCTCCCAAATCGATTTGCTTTGAACAGTAGGACAGATAATTGGCCCAGGTTAAAATATTTGTCAATTCCTTAACAACTGGAACCTTCTGCTTCTCGTACCACGACGGAGTCACAATTGGCAAGTTCTTCAACCCGTCTGGAAACCGGGCGTGGTCCTGGCACCACACAGCCGTAGCAGAGTTCTCAGCCACACCAGTGCTCCACTCGCCGTTAGACGGAGCCGGACACTCCAAAACGGTTTTGAAGTGTTCTGATGTTCAGACTCCGGTCATGTGTAACCGAAGTCCGTATAAAGAATTACGCCCTGAACCAGGGACGGCGTAACCATGTTCTTCAATCTCAATGCGTGTTCGTTCGGCGGCGTCGCGAGGATGAACTGGATTAGCTGGATTTACGTCCGTTGCGACTGCGAGGGATGCTGATGTTTGTTATGAGAGCCAACGCTTATACTTAATTTAAGTAGAAAGAAATATGCATGAGGAATTGTCTCCACTTCATCGTCCTTTTATACTCCTATTGTAAGTAGGAATATGAAAAGTACGTAGAGTAGGACCGTAATGTCTTACCACAAATATGTGGGTTACTGTTAAATAGTTAAAATATTTAACAGTAACGCACAATCAGTGAAAGACTTTACTGGTGCTACTCTCTGTTTCATAATACTATTAGAATGTAAACATTCCAGAATATATATATATATATATATATATATATATATAGTATAGTATA